ATCCTGGACGCGAGTCAGCGCGACGTTTATTCCCACTGGAGTGACCAGTGACGGGAGACAATAGATTCAGTGAAGTGACGTGGGTGACGTGTGGAGTCTCGGGTCTCCGCTCACCGCTTGCCGGACAGGTCCTGAATCTTGACCGCCGTGGAACCGATCACCGCCGAGGTCGTCTCGGGGTCCTCGACCTGGGCGTATTTCGCCTCGTTGCTCCTCATCTGCTCGTGCATCGTCTCCGTCGCCTCCTCGAGGATATCATCCAGGAACACGACCGTGCCCCTCCTCGTCGACATGCCGGTGACCATCCCGAACGAGACGTGCTCGAACCGCCCGGCGAACTCCTCGCCCATCAGCTCGAGGGTCTTGTACAGCTGTCGGAAGTGCAGCGACTGCGCGGCCTGGACGACGTAGATGTGCTTGTCAAAGTGGTACGTGTTCCACTTGTCAAACGCTCCTCCGAGATCACGAGTGAGGTAGATGGTGGTGCCGTCTGCACACAAGTCAGCGAGGAGCGGGAAGCGAGGTGCGAGTCGACAGCCACATTCCAGTTCGCTCGCTTTTGTTGCACTTACCCGCTTTCCGGATGATCGCCTTGTCCATCTTGTACTTTGTGAGATCCACGAGCAGCGCTCCCCGGTCCTCGCACGTCAGACCCTTCGCCTCGCAGATTTCGATGGCGCGCTGCATCGACTCCTTGGACACCTGGCTCTCTCCCCAGTAGACGTCAAAGTGGATGTTGAGCTTGGCGTAAGTCTCCTTGAGCTTCTCAATTGAAAGCTCTCGGAATCGGCGCCATTGTGCGAGCGCCTTCTCGTCGCCTAATTTGGTTACTTTAGCCGGACATCAGGTGCAACACAACCTTCACTCACCGTCCTCCATCGCCTTGAACACCCGCTTGGCCGCGGCGTGGACGGTCGACTCGGCATCGGTGATCTCCCCCTTGTTGAACCGCTCGGTCTCCTCGGCCTTGTCCTGGTTGATCCTGACGTACACTTTGAACAGGTGCTGGATCGGATCCCTGACGAGCTCCTCCTCGCTTCCGTACCGGTCGAAACCGACAGACAGCATACCTAGCGCGTCAGCATGGTCCAGAATTATTCTTCAGAGGGAACGCGGTCCAGCGGTCTATCGGTTCAGGAATTGGATCCAGAGACGATCGTAGAGACGCTCGAAGCGTTGGTTGATTGGTGGGATGTGGCGTCCACTCCGGGTTTACTCACCATACTGCGTTCCCCAGTCGCCGAGGTAGTTCAGCCGGGTGACCTTCCACCCCATCGCCTCGTGGAGGTTTGAGATCACCGCGCCGATGATGGTCGAGCGGAGATGCCCGGCATGGAAGGGCTTGGCGATGTTGGGCGAGGAAAAGTCGATGAGCATGTGCTTGCCCTGTCCTTCGTCGGTCGTGCCGTAGTGGAGGGTCTTGGAGGTGGGGTTGTTGCGAGCGGCGCGGGAAGCGAGGTTGATCGTTCGGAGCATGTGGTAGGTGAACGTCTCCTTGCTACAGACTATCAGCCCAGCACGACATCGAATATCGAGGGGGAGAGCAACAGAGCCAGTGGATGAGAGAAGGCGTGTAGGAGAGACTCACTTGATGGTGAAGAGGAGGAAAGCGCCCTCGTTCTCGACCTTGGAAATCGCGGTGTTGGGCTTGAACTGAGGTGTGTAAGACTACATTACTACCGCATGACGTTGACACCGCGCCGAGCGTCACTCACCGCCTCGAGGATCTTCCTGGCCCACTCGTCCGGCTTGCCCTTCTTGAAACGAGGAATCGCAACCGCAAGGTCCGCGCCTTTCTTGCCTGCATCGACTCAGCCCGGCACTCTTCTCACCAACGCGACCAACCCCGACCGACTGAATCAACCCAACCAACCCAACCAAGTCAAACCGACCCAATCAAACCAATCTAACCCGAAGTACCGACTCAACCAACCCCAAACCACTCACCAGTGTCAACGCCCGCAAAGACCTTCTCCACATCCACGTCCCACACCTCGGCTACCTGCTTGGCCACCGCGAGCCTGAACGCATCGATAGGGACGCGCTCCGGCTCCGCGCCTTTTACCACCGGCAGCTCGGGGAGGGCGTACTGGGGGTTCACAGCCGGCTGGGGGTCGACCACAGGCGGAGCCGTAGAAGTAGAGGTAGACATGGTGGTTCGATAGTGCGTAATTGCGGCTCGAAGTGGATGGTATCGATGGTGAAGCGGCACTGATCGAGTCGAAAGGGTTGATGTGGAGAGGGAAGTGTGAGTGGTGCGCAGGAATTGGGTGAAGCGCAAAGCGACAAAGGATGGTCGGAGGGATATGGTGGCGGTTTTGATCGGTATTTCACCCGCTGAGGTCTGCTACAGACTTGCACAGAGTGGTTGCGAAGCGAGTCAAGATGTAGAAGTGGATGAAATTGTGAGTCAATATCTGCCAGCGGTCATTCACCCAACTCGACTCCACGAAAAGTCAAGCTCTTCGAAAGCGGACATCAGCGCCATCTCCGCGCTTTCTACGACTACGAGTCGTACTGTATTTCATCGAGGACAATCTGATACATGCAATCGATGCGAACGACTTCTATGCACAAGCGCACGAGCGCGACCAGGTCCATGCACGTGTTTCCTCACAGTAGCGTCTCCCCCAAAGCCGCACGAGCGAGGGAGCAGCCGACGGCGACGGTCTGCTCGATGGAGACGGGGTCGAGGAGCGACGGGTTGACCTCCTGTTTCTCGGTCAGCTCGGGTCTGTGTCCGGGGGTGGATCGTATGCATGCACTCACCATGATATCCAGAGAGACCAGGCAGCCCGTCTCGGCAACAGCCTCGGTGATGTAGTGGCCTGACGCCGTCATCGTCAGCGGTCTGTTTCGCTGTCCTCCAGGCACTGCACTGCGCTCCGTGCTGCTTGGAATGCACTTACCCTCTCGGAAGGTCAGACCACCTCGGACAGGGGTACCAGTGCCTACGATGTCAGCGTTCACACGCTTCAGCAAGGCTCTCAAAGTTCTGTGCCACTCACTCGGAGCAACCGATGGGTCGAGCGCATCAACATCAAAGGTGAGGTGCGTGGGCCTGTCCCTGCTGGGGTTGACATAGTCCAGCGCCATGTCCATGACCTTTCCGATGCCGTACTTGTCGACCTCGTGCATGGTGAAGCACTTAATGTTGTGCTTCCGCAGAATCGCCTTCTCGGGCACATCCAGGTCGCGGAGGCCGATGTACACGCTGGAAACATCAGCTCGCGCTCAACATTTCCACGGCGAGCGGTGTGACGGAGGGGCGATGGAGGAACGCCGGAGGCGAGCAGCAGGGAGGACACATGGAGGACATGGAGGACATGGTGGACAAGAAGGACAAGGAGCACAGGGGAAAACCCGCTCACAGATCCTCGGGCTTGAGACACGGCTTGATCCACTGGTTGAAAGGCTCGACGTCGGTTCCCTCCAGGCCGAGGAGGAAGGACACGGGGCAGCCATGCAGGTTGCCCGAGTCGGTGCTGCCGGGTGTGTTGATATCGGCGTGGGCGTCGATCTGGTAGCGGTGAGCGGTGCGTTCTGGTGCTCAAGTGAGATGGAGTGAGATGGGCTTACCCAGATCAAGCAGGCGTCGGGGTACTTGGACTTGGTGCCGAGAACGGTGCCCATTGCCTGTGGCGTGGGCGTCAGCGCGAGTCCGGCGGACCACAACTTCCAGCTAAGGGTGCAGCGGATGAGAAGACCATGAAGATGGGCGCCGCCGATCACCAAACAAAAATCCGCATTACGACCTGGAGACGTGGGACGACCCGGAAGCTGCAGAGACCCAAGCAAAATCCCTGCGACTGGCTTCGCCGCACTTACCAGCGAGTGGTCCCCTCCCAGAGTCAAGGGCAAAGCCCCCTGCGCCGCCGCCTCCCCGACCTCCTTGGCCACCCTCTCACACACCGCCGAGACCAACCTCGGCTTCTTCATCTTCCCGATATCCGGGTCCGGCAACCTCTGCACCATCACCGGCTCGATGCTCGCCTTGGGGGTCGGGAACTCCTCGGCATTGACGGGCTTGTCACCTGCGAGGTGGGTATACTGCGCGTCTGTGGGCACAGGGTTGTACGGGATATCGGCGAACGATTTGGCCGATTCGTACTTTACTTGCCAGCCGAGTTTTTGGAGCTGATCGACCAGCCCGGCGGAGATGAGCCGGTTGGGAGCGAGGTCGACACCGGACCGACCTTGCCCGCCGCTGAATGGGCAGGCGATGATCTGGGGTTGTCAGCCGGCACGAAGCGGCGCGGGGCGGCGCATTTTGGGTTCAAAGTAGATGAGAAGTATCAGGGTGACGCGGGAGACAACATCACTCACGTCAACGGTGGCCGGCTCAGATAGGAAGCGGTATTTGTAGTTCGGCGACATGGCGATGAGGTGTCTGTGCGATGAGCGTGAGTACAAGCGGCAAGCCAGTCTTCGTGTACATGCCTGCTGCACGAGGAGACTCCCTCGCCACATCTCGCATCGAGGCAGAGAGACGTTCCCGGGTGGAAGTAACACTCACAACGACGAGGAGAGTTCCGGAGGACAAAGGAAGGTCTGAGGAGGCTCGTAGTACCGTCGAATGCTTCGATGGAGACTGAGCAATGTAGAGGAGGAGTAGAAGGCTTGTAAGATGCAAAGTATGGGCTCCTGGGTAGGCTGCGCGACGCGCTTAAGTCGAACCGGTAATGCCGGCGGTAGCGCTTAGACGGGGTTTGACCAGGATCCGTGACGAGTGTGGCGGGCAGTGCGCATGATTGCTCCCGGTCCTCCACTTGCGCAACTCATTTCATGTGTCAGTGCGTCAGACTTCTCATCGGCGCATCAACTACCAGCGATCAGAGCTCATCGCAGAGTCCAGCCAAGGCGCGTCGAGGCGCAGCTACCCGACAAAGTCCAACGATTGACTCTTGCGCCTCCTGCCAATGGGAACTGGGTTCAGTGGCTTTTATAATGTACCTAAGCCCCGCGCTCGGGCCTCGGAACTTTAGAGTTTATGGGAGTATGGAGAAGTGCCCGAGTGGTTATGGGGCTGCTTTTAGGAACACCTTATTGTTACCAAACAGCAGTGCTTCGGCTCGCGAGTTCGAATCTCGTCTTCTTCAACCGCTGGTTCTTCCTCTCCCACCTTTTTGGCGAGGTCCGAGGTAGGTCCGAGGTCCGAGGTAGGTCCGAGGTCCGGCGGCTCCTTCACACAAGCACATCGCACGACGACGAGCTCAACTGACAGTCATCGACCACATCGACCACATCGACGAGAGACGTTCATCCGTTCAGGCTGCTCGCCTACGACATGCACCACTCGCACGCATACGAAATGGTAGCCGACAATCCAGGTTGAATCAGGTGGATCCGCTGCGACCTGCGGGTGCCACGACGCCACTGCCACTGCCGCCACATGCACTGTTTGCGTCGCGTCACCGCCTCACCGACGATCCTCTCGATGTCCATTTCATCCCCACATTCCTCGACTGTCTCTACTCCACGTTCGTCCCATCCTCCGGCCCTCGACCGAGCATCGAACTTGCGTTGCAGCTCGCACACCTGCCGATCCGCTCAGACGTATCAGCGCGGGCATATCTACCTCTGATTCTGCGTCTAGACGCACCGGTTCACCCCTCAACATGTCCGGTCAGTCTCCCTCCCTCTCCCCACCTCTCCCTCTGCTCCCCCTCGTCCCCACCATTCGCTCTCCTTGCTACCTGCTGCCTGTTCCGCGCTGCCTACTCCCTGCTCCCCTCTCCCCGCTCGCCGCATTGCCCGCCTGACCCCCGTAGCCTCCGCCAACCCATTCGAGCCCCAACCGCTCGACGCCAACCCCTTCGAGCCATCCACCTCCTCCAACCCCTTTTCCCATCCGAACGACTCCGCCTTCTCCCTCGAGTCGGCTGACACGGAGCGCGCCTCGCCGGCTTCCAAGGGCTTCGGACTCGGTACGGGCGGGTATGGCGGCGCCGCGCCGTCTGGGCCGAACCGCGGTGGTGCGCCCGGGACAAGCGACTTTGAGGAGAGGGAGAGGAGACTCCGGGAGAGAGAAGAGGCGGTTAGAGCGAGGGAACATGCTGTGGGCATGAAGGAGAATAACTGGCCGCCGTGTGAGTGGACCAAAACCAATCGCACCGATCGTACCAATCGCACCGATCATACCAATCGCACCAAGCAGCCCCAATCGACTCGGACACTCAAAACACTCTGAGACGTTGCCTCGTCGTCTCTGTAGCTCCAAAGATATTTGGCGTCCGGTGCACGGAAGAACCACCGCTGAACCCCCAGTCTTCCCGTTCATCCACCACGCGCCGGACGAGCTGCCCGAGCAGCACCGCACCGTCGGTAAACTGCTTTACGCCCAATGGCTCGCTCTCGCCGCGACGCTCATCATCAACCTCCTCGGGTGCATCTTCCTGCTCATCGCCGGCAGCTCGGAGGGAGGGTGAGTGCGGCGGTGTTCATTGCCGCGGTGTTCATTTTCAACCATGTGTCACCACTCCACCGAACCCTTCCCCGATCACTGGTATCATCGAATCGCTTTGGCCGAGTAGAGCCAAGGCACCTCCCTCCCCTCGTCCCCTTGTTTCCCAGCCTTCTCCCTGTCTACCCCGAGTGACCATCTCGTGTTGTTCCGCACATTGCAGCAGCCCCGCCAAATCACCCAACCCGCTTCAACCCGCCGTGTGCGCGTGTGCGCGTTGACCCATGCTGATCCTCCCCCACAGCGCCGATACCGCCGCCGCAGGAGGCTACCTCCCCGTCATCGGCGTCCTGTCCTTCCTGCTGTGGTATCGCCCAATCTACCTCGGCCTGGACCGAACCGAGGGCAAGGCCATGGCGTTCTTCTTCTGTGAGCGCGGCGCGGCCCTTACTACCCTGTTCATGATGCGGAATATCCGGCACACCGGGATGTCAGGGTGTCCGGACCGGACTGTCTGCATTGCCGTAGATCATGCCCGCTGACACGGCCAGACATCTACTTCGTCTTCGCGGGATTCAACCTCCTCTTTGCGATCTACATGGCCATTGGTATCCCCTGTACGTGTTCCATCCCCATGCCACTCACGCCCCGCAACCAGCCACGCCCACAGCTGTGTCGTGGAGGTAGTGCCATGGGAACAAGTGGACTCGCCGTACTGATTCGTCCCGCAGCCACGGGGTCCGCCGGACTCATCAACACCATCTCGATGTTCTCCAAATCGCACATCCTCGCCGGGGTGTTTGGCGCGCTTTCCTCGGTCGGATGGATCCTCCAAGCTGCAGGCGGAGGGATCCTTTACAAGCGGGTGAGTCGGCGTGTGGGACATTGAACCCCTTCATCCCTGCATCATTTCCAAGAGCCGTCCCATCTCCTCTCAGAATACGACAGCTGAGGCAAGCAGATCTGGGACTTCAAGAATGGGAACGGCGACATCACTTTCCAAGCGGTGAGTGTGGTTGCCAGTGCGGACGGGATGGGATTCGAACCTGTATGCGGGAGCGGGTCAGTCACTGACCCGAAATCAGGCCTCGGATCAGTTCAAGCGGTCCACGCTCACCAACATCATCCTGCACCAGAGCAGGGTGTGAGCGATGGTTACTTCGGTGGAGAGTCTGGAAAACGACGACCATGGTAGTGAGAACATCACGACTCGAGCGCTGTTGTGAGCACATCACGACTCGGAAGAATGAATCAGAAACGACGAGCAAAAATGGACGGAGAATAACTGGCGTAATGGTCGATGAATGGATCGATCGATCGACGGAAATCATTCTGTGAATACCCGGACGGACGACTTTCGCGGGCCCCGTCGCTCGCGCCATAGATAGTCGCAACGCACATGCAACGAATCACCAGCATCACCCCAAGCGTTTCCGCGAACATGTTTGCATATAGGATTGCAGGACGCGGTGTATCTGCGTGGAACTGCGGGTATCTGCTCCTACTAGGATAGCTTATACTTGGATATCTTGCCTCTCCGCGATGTACGTATGACGATCCATCCTGTCCGGTGCAGTCCGTGAAATCGCTCCTCTATGCCATTTCCATCCGCCCGTCTTCACCTGAGCGAATCGTGCCCGTACGAAGGAGGAGCGCCAGCCGCTTCGGGGGTAGCGTCGGGGAAGGCGCCCTCGTGATGCAGAGCTGCGGGGTCGCTCGTGTCTGGCGACATGGGCGGCACGGGTAGACGCCTCGGGCCCGATCCTTGCTCTAGACCGTACTCGTCCTCGCTCTGGCGGGGCTTGACACCTCGTCGGAACGCCGCGGCGGAGATCTTGCCGCCCGAGGCAGACATCGAGGGGGATTGGGGCGGGATGTCGCTTGGGATAACCGGCGGGATGGGCGAGGGTGCTTCGAGAGGGGTGTGATACCCCGCTTCGTCGCCTGATGCGTCGCCTGAGATGGGGTGGGGAGGCTGGAGGTCCGCCATTGGTGGGGCGGGGAAGGCAGAGTTGGTGTACCCGTGCGGGGCGGGCGAATCGGCCGGGACGGGGATCACGCCGGGTCCAGACGGGACAGGATCCTGCAGGACAACGGGCTCATGCGCCCTAGGTGGTTCCGGCGTACGATCGCGCTTTAGGTTGAGCGGCTCCCACGGTCGGTCCACGTGGCTGCTCGCTGCGCTTGGCATGGGTATCTCGTGCGGGTTGGGAAGCGACATCGACTGCTCCCCGTGCCCGTTCCCGTTCCCGTTCAGACCATTGTGGCTCGGCTCACTCTTCCACGCCTCTTCCTCCCGGGAAAGCTCCTCCTGACCCCGCAGATCCTCTGCAGCCTCTTGCTGGTCCATCTCGCGTTGCTGCTCGTACTCGTATGCGTGATCCGTGGGGATCTGGTTCACCGCATCCTCCGTCGGGCCCTGCCACATCACCTGGTGGCCCGTCGACGAGACATCCCGCACCCCGCCGTACTCGCGGTACACGTGGTTCTCATCCGGCTGGCGGCGGAACGAGACGTTGTGCGCCAACCCACCGTAGGGGTTCTCGTCGAGCGAAAAGTCTCGCGCCTTGCCCTTCTCCGAGACACCCGCGCCGGCGCCGACGGGCGACACGAGGTTGCCGGGGTAGTTGGCATACTCCTCCGCGGCGAGGACGCTCGGGTGGTTGGCATCCGGGAGCTGGGGAGTGCGAAGAGGTTCCGGAGGGATGTGCTGCGGCAGTCCGGGGGGTTTCGGGGCGGTCGACGCCGATTGGAACTGGACCGTGGAGAGCTGCACAACCCGCATCAGCTATAACACTCGCCTTGGGGACCCGCCGCCGCGTCGCCTCCGCTCCACTCACGCATTTCGTAGCCTCGTTCACGGCGTTTTCAGTCTTGTCAAAGCCGGTGTACGGTGCGCGACCGTATCCGGGCGGCGTCTCCTCGAGCGGGATCTCCTCGAGAAGGAGCTTGCCGAGCTCGCCGATGATGCACATCTTCTCGCCGAGCTCCTCGAGTCCGCCAAACTTGAGCGACAGCGCCTCTTTGACGATTCTGCGGCGGCGATGTGAGCGATTGTATCGCACGGCGCGTGAAGTAACCCGCGGCCAACTCGACTCACTGCCTCTTGAAATCGCCGAGCTTGGACTCTTCGGTGACGATATCCGTGTCCATCTATACCTTGTCAGCGACTGGAAGTCAGGTTCGCTCCCACAACTCCACGCCTCGCTCACCTGGCGCATTTCCTGCCTGAGCCTCTCGAGCAGGTCGGTCTGCTGAGGCAAGCTCTTGTTCTCCGGGCCCATCTTTGCCAGCTTCCTCTCCGCGTTCTCCGCCTTGTTGCCCGTGTTCCTCCTCCGGTTCCTCAGCTCCGCCAGCGCCTCGTCCCTCTCGCGAATGCGTTTGAGCGACGAACGAAGCGCGGCTTGATGTCCGGTGAACACCTGGAGGGCGGTCGAGAGGTGATTGAGCAGAGTGGACGAGTGTGTGAGGATGTCTTGGAGGTCGGGACCTTCTTGCTGCCCGTAGATCGGGAGCGAGGCTGCGGCTTTCTGCGTCTCTACGGGGCGTCAATGGACGGACGACACTTCGGACAGCTCGTATAGCTGGCCATGTGGCTTCGCACTGACCAAGAGCCAGCTTCTCCGTCATGTTGAGCACGCCCTTCTCCGAAGATATAACACTGAGTGGTCAGCCGAGTACGAATCGGTACGTATG